TTTTTCCGGCCAATTGTCCACCAGTGGCCGGATTCTGATTGGTCATCTGACTACTGCTATAGTTATGCGGTATTTTAAGATATTTTATGATATTTTATGTGTAAATTGTTATTTTGATATTGTTCTTATTGTTTAACTGCTGGACACCGCCCTGTGCCCATCAGGGGAGGACGGTATATAAATCTAATAAACCTAATGAAATAAATAAACAGAGAGTTGGCTGGTATGGCAGCCGGGTGTGACAGTTGCGGTCTGGCCCCTTTCCACCTCCTGGGGGAGCGGGGAGCAGGTCAGGCCTTCCGCGGCCCAGTTCCAGCTCCCGCCTGGAGCTCCTCCCACTATTTCCTGCCTCACTGCCAGGGAGGAGGTTTTGACGTCGCGGACAGGATGTTCCACAGCCTGGGCAGCACCTGGGACTCCGCTTCGAGGCAGAACATGACCGACGTGAGAGAACTCACCCCCGAATTCTTTTACCTGCCGGAATTCTTGACAAACTGCAACCAGGTTGCATTCGGTACGTGTGATCTTTTTTCTTGAGAAAAATTTCAGACCAACAAAAATGTGATTTCCAAGGGTCCAAAATTTCCAAATGTTCTGGGGGGGGGACGACAAAATTATTGATCTTTAACTTCCTTTAAAATCTTCTTTTCCTGCTTGTTTGCAGTCTAATCTGGTGAAGCTTTGGTTCCCCCCCACCACCACCACCAAGTTTTCTAAAGCTCCGGCTTCTGTATGGGATTCCAGCTAGTCAGGGATCATATGGTTTCAGGTACCATATAGCTGAGCCAGTTTGGTGTAGTGGTTAAGTGTATGGACTCTAATCTGGGAGAACCGGGTTTGATTCCCCACTCCTCCACTCCTCCACTTGGACCTGCTGATGTGACCTTGGGTCATTCACAAGTTCTGGCACAGCTGTCCTTGAAAAAGAGCAGTTTCTGTCAGAGCTCTCTCAGCCCCACCCGCCTCATAGGGTGTCTGTGGTGGGGAGGGGAAGGGAAAGGAGTTTGTAAGCCGCTCTGAGACACCTTCAGGTAGTGAAGGGCGGGGTATAAATCTAATCTATTCTTCTTCTTCTTCTTATGGTATTTGGCTATGAGATGATACAGAAGCAGCCGAAGGAGCATCAGAAGGTGCATTAGATGGCTGTTGGAATGAAAGTAACCTGGTGACTGGCGGCAACCCCAGGCTCAAGCCAGTTTGGTGTAGTGGTTAAGTGCGCGGACTCTAATCTGGGAGAACCGGGTTTGATTCCCCACTCTTCCACTTGCACCTGCTGATGTGACCTTGGGTCAGTCACAAGCTCTGGCACAGCTGTCCTTGAAAAAGAGCCGTTTCTGCCAGAGCTCTCTCAGCCCCACCCACCTCACAGGGTGTCTGTTGTGGGGAGGGGAAGGGAGAGGAGTTTGCAAGCCGCTCTGAGACACCAAGTGAAGGGCCAGGGGTATAAATCCAATCTCTTCTCTTCACGGGGATGGGGGGGTGGGGTGGGCAGGCAGGGAAGAGATTGTGCCGGCAAACTCACTTCTCCGGGCAGCATGTGTCCCCTTGCGGACGGAGCTCTGTGAGAGCAGAGGCAGGAGGGAAATTGTGTCCAGCATCCATATCCTCAAAGCAGATAAGACTTAAACCGTATCCAGAGGAGAGAATCAGAACGTGCATTCAAGACGCTTTGCGAATGCTGAGCAGCTAGATGGTTTCCTTGCTCTGACTTGTAAATACACAGAGCTGTTGTTAAGAAGGCCGCTGTGGAAGATCTGCATCAACACACACACATCTTAATTACCTGAAGTTACACTGAGCTAATTTGTGATGATTCTGTGCAAGACTTGGCTTTGTTATCAGAAGCTTTAAGAAATCGTCATTGACAAATTGCAGGCGAGTCCCCTCTCGCCGCTTGTTCCTCGGTTTTAAATGAAATCGAGGCTTTGCGCTTGGCTTTAAATGGAAGTAGGGCTAGTCTAGTCAGTAGGGTTAGGCTTTAAATGGAAGCAGGGTCGGCCCTGGTCAGTACCCAGATGGGAGACTCCCAAGGAAGCCGAGGGTTGCTAAGCAGAGGCAGGAGATGGCCGACCACCTCTGCGCCTCTCTGGCCTTAAAAACCTTACCAGGGTAGCTCTACGTCAGCTGTGACTAGACTGCACTTTAGACCAGCCCAGGACTGGCCCTGCACCCTGTTGAGGCTGCTATACTTTGGGGGGGGGGGATGTCAGATGGCTCCCCTGGGGCCATGACTCCGGGAGAACAGCTGCTGAGAAGACTCTGAGGATTGCCAGCTCAGGGGCAGGCCAGCTGCAACAAGACTGCCGCAAGCTTTGGGGCTCAGGTGACTCTGGCCTTCAGGGAGGTCTCTCGTGTCCTCAGAGTCTGACCCGAACTGGAGGCAAGCTGTTCGTGCCCCAAATGAGGTGCAGGATTCATTGTTCACCCTTTGCCTTTTCTCCTTTGCAGGAAGCTTGCAAGACGGGACCCTGCTGGGGGACGTTCAGCTCCCGCCCTGGGCCGGAGGAAGCCCTCACAGGTTCATTAGCTTAAACAGGCAGGTCAGTCCAAGGTGTGAAAGGCGGGCTGCGTGAAGGCGGGAGGGTCGGCCTCTCTGTCAAAGTTGTGTTGCCGGATTTTCTTTTTGGGGGAGAAGGGGCTAATTGCCCCCCCTTTCCTCTTCCCTTGTTTTGTGGCTGTTTACGGCCTCTCCTTTCTTCCATCCTATCCCCACCCAATTCCCAGTCCCCACCTCTTTGCCACTGGTTAGCTAACCGCCAAGGGGGAGCATTTACCGCAAAAAAAAATATGGAAGAATGCCTGACATTTTAGCGACATCCCCAATGTGACTTCCAGCGCTTTGTTTTTTGGGCAAAACTCTATGGTAGAAGCGAATTCTACCATAGAATGTTAGTCCAAGAACCAGAGCACCACCCCAACATGCCCACGTCACTTCTGGGTCACACTGGAAGTCACGTCAGGGCCATCGCTGAAACATCAGGTGAGACTCCCTGCTCCCCGCAAGCCCACCACCTCGCTGCCCAGGGGGACCTGGCCCCCCACCCCACCCCACAACAGCTTGTCTTTCTGTCATTTCAGTCTCATTCATCAAGAGGTCCAAGCCAATCAGTCAGCTGCCCGGCAGTGCCTCAATCATCCTAGGGAGAAAAGCTAAAAAGAAAAAGAAGAGAAGGAAGGCCTTGTTTACTGACAGGAAGTTCCGACCACAGAGTCCCTTGTGACTCCTTGCATGCCCCTCCCTTTGGTCCCAGCTTCCACCTGCTGATCAGATGAGCGGTGGCGGGCAACAGGCACAGTGGCCCGGATCTCTCCGGCCATAAGTGGGCAAATGGGAGCCCTCGTCACCAGGGATCATGGGCCGGAAATGGCGATGTGTTGTACAATTTAGCAGAGTAAAAGGCAGTGAGGCAGCACACACATGCAAATTAGCTAAAAGAAAGATCCAGGTGGTCAGCTGTGTTGGTCTGAAGCGGTAGAACAAATCTAGAATACAGTCAAGCACCTTGAAGACCAACAAAGGTTCATTCAAGGTCTGAGCTTTCGTGTGCAAGGCGCACTTTATCAAATACAGTGGAAGTACATCCCTTCCAATGTATCTTTCGATCTTTTGATTTATCTTTCGATTTATTAATCGCTCAATCCTGCAGAGCTGCTGGCTCTGAGCGATTTACGGTTACACATATTCACACGGGACTAACAATGATTCATAGGGGGTAAAGGAGGACAACATATAAATCTTTTAAGTCACAGACGTTTGCAGCCGATGGGTTTTTTGTTCAGCTGTAGGCTTAGATGTGTTCCAGACGGCATTCACTCAGCTTGGCTTGATGATGTCAGCTTTTTCCAGGACGGCTTCGAGTCGCAGCGCTGCACTGCCACCAGCTGGCTGGATCAGCCCATCGCAGGCTTCTTGATGCCGAGGAGATCTTTCTAGGCTTCCGAGCTGGACATTCCGTTTCGCCAGCTAACACCTCCACCCACAGGGGGGGTTTAGTGTGCCCACCCTCTCTAAGGAGTGGTACCATTTTATCTACTCACCGAAGCTTTCGAACCACTGGGTGGACGGCGGGCTAGGGACAAGGCTGGTAGCTCACACCAGCACGGGCTAGAACTGACAGCAGTTCTGTTCAGTTCAGATGTTCAGATGTTACTGTAACCAGAGGATGTACACAAAAGCTCGTACCTTGAATAAAACTTTGTTGGTCTTAAAGATACCACTGGTCTCTAAATTTGTTCTACAGCTAAAAGAAAGTTTACTAAGAAATTAGGAAGGGTTACATAAGTGGATAAAAACAATAAAACAATCTAGCTGACTAGCTACATCTTCCTAGCTACTGTCTTCTCCATGATGGATTCTTGTATCTGACCTTAGAACAAAGGGAGAAAGAAGAGACCCCCCCCAAAAAAAATGCATATGTGCACAATATCAGGTAACATCACCAAACTATTGACTAGCCAATCACCAGGCTAAAGGTGACTTCATTATGAATAAGACCCCCTTCTCTACCGCAGGAAATACATGCATGTGAGTTTACTGGTCCTAAACTAACCAACTAAGAATTAGCATACACAGACAAACAGGTTAACTCTTTCGTGACCTCAGGGAGAGAACTTGCTGCAAATATCCCAACATGATGTCAGAGCATTACAATGACAACCAGATTTGTTATTTGTTGACATCACCAACAGCAAATAAAACTTTGTTCAGAGTGAGGGGCAGTCGGGGGTGAGATGCAAAATGGGCCTGCCCATTTTTGGCACAGTCCTTGTTCAAGTACATGCATGGAAGCAAGCAAGATCTTTGGCCCTTCTTGTGTGTGCTTCCAAATGAGCAGACTCTCCTGAAAGAAAGCAGGCAGCTTTTCTCCCCCCTCCCATAATACTAGAACTGGGGTCATCCGCTGAAGCTACAGGGTGGGGGGGGGGTTCAGGACAGACACAAGGAAGTACTTCTTCATACAGCACACAGTTAAACTGTGGAACTCGCTGCCACAGGATGTGGCGATGGCCACCAAGGTGGAAGGCTTTAGAAGGGAGTGGGCAAGTTCATGGAGAATGGGGCTGTCAATGGCTGCTCCCTCCAGCCCCAGAGGTAGAGTGCTGCCCTCTTTGTATCAGCTGCTGGGGAACACCTAGGGCGGGGAGGGTGTTTTTGCAGACTCAATGTTCTCTCTAAGCTGTGGAGTCTTGTGAGCAAAAATTCTACTTTGTGAGCTACTGGCACTAAAGTTGTGAGCAAGCGACTTGGCTGCTGCCTAACTTAGTTGGCTCTGGAGCCATCCTTCCTGAGTGAAGACAAAAATGTGTGAGCTGGAGGCTAAAAAACTGTGAGCTAGCTCACAGTCACTCAGCTTAGAGGGAACACTGGTTGCAGTCATCCTCCTTGTGCGCTGAGACAGAAGATCGGCCAATGCTGGACTCGATGGGCCTTTGCTCTGATGCAGCAGCACTCTGCTTATAGTCTTGCACTCAATACCCCTACGGCCAGCAACCCGGGGACACTGTCATTGCAGCTGATACTCCAAACTCTCAGTGTTCAGCTGTTCTCTGGTTCCAGTTAGCCTGTCTCTTCAGCAGCCATCCAGCACAGCTGAAGAGATGATCCCACCCCCTTTTGTGTCCGTCTGGGAGTCTGTCCAAGAGGCCAAAGGCGGGGAGGGCAGAGCAGCTAAGAGGAGAACTCCGAACCAACGATGCCCATTGGGTTACAGGCACTGGAGAGCGATTATGTTAGCACCCACCTCCATCACTGGATAGATCTCATCTTCGGTCACAAGCAGCACGGCCCAGCAGCTGTGAAGGCGGTCAATGTCTTCCACCCGTATTTCTACGGTGACCAGGTGCGCCTGGACAGCATCAGTGACCCTCTCACCAAAAACACCATCTTGGGATTCGGCAGCAACTTTGGACAAATCCCAAAGCAGGTACAGTGCAGAGTGGGGGCTGGGGGTGGGGGGTGAGCTGCTTCTAGAATCGCCGAGGGCTGCTCGGGATTTGGTGTTGTAGAACTGGCTGGGCAGCTGACAGTCAGTAGCAAGGAAGTTAGACTAGTTGCCCGTCAGGTACTGGTCTCTGTGTGAAGTTCTTCTGCCGAAATTAAAACCCTGCAGACTCCAGACTGCCTCTCCCTGAACGGGCCCCTTCACCTGTTGAATGCATCCAGAGGAGTCCTGTGTGTGTGCCATCTTCCATAGAGGTTAGAACTGCCATGGAGCAGATCGTGGCCTCCTTGGTGGTGGCCCTGAGGCTCGGAACCGCTTCCTGTAAGAGGCCAAGCTAGCCTGTTGAAAGAAATGTAGGACTTCTGTATTGGTTTGTACTATTTATGTGTTGGGGGAATGGAGTCTGGAGCCTGTCGCTGTGCTGCCGTATAGTTATGCTGTGTGTGCTGGAATGGAGGTTTAATATTTTTTAATATTATACTGTTTTAATATTTGGTTTAATGCTTCATTAATCGTAATTACTGTCTGGGGTTTTGTTGTTGCTGTTTGGTGTCGTGGTTAAGTGTGCGGACTCTGATCTGGGAGAACCGGGTTTGATTCCCCACTCCTCCACATGCAGTTGCTGGGCTTCTGGTGTGACCTTGGGTCAGTCACAAGTTCTTTCAGAGCTGTTCTCTCAAGAGCAGTTCTTGAGAGAGCTCTCTCAGCCCCACTTACCTCACAGGATGTCTGTTGTGGGGAGGAGGGGAAAGGAGACTGTAAGCTGCTCTGAGACTCCAAGTGAAGGGTGGGGTATAAATCCAGTCTCTTCTACTTCTGAATGAAGGAGAAACCATGATTTTAAAGACATCTATACCTGTGGCTCTAAGTAAACCCAGAAGTGACATCACTCCTCTTTAAAAGAAAACTTCTGACCATTCCTAGAAATTCCCCAGCAGTGATGTCACACCATCAGCTCAACAGCCGTTTTTTAAAATTTTCTCACTGGCTAAGACTTCCAAAAAGGTTGTCATCCTCCAGGTGGGGCCTGGAGATCTCCTGGAATTGCAGCTGGTCTCCAGACCTTGTTTACTGGGGAAAACCTGGAAGTGACATCATGCCTTTCTAGAACTGTCAGAAGTTTTCTTTTAAAGAGGTGTGATGTAACTTCTGAGTTTACTTCTTCTGGAGAAAAAGGGCTGCTTTGGAGGGCGGACTGAATGCCATTCTCTCCCACTGAGGCTCCTGTCCTCCCCACACCCCACCTTTCCCAAAGCGCCACCCCCAAATCTCCAGGAACTTCCCAACCCAACGCTGGCAGTCCTAACTTCCTGGCAGGCATCATTTTGGAGAACACAGAAAGACTGGGCATCATGTGTCCTTAGGACTGAGACATTGTCCGAAAGAGCACCTCCAGTACTGTCAGTGTTGTTGCGTTAGGGTTTGTTTTGTTTTTTGCTGTTGTTCCTTCTTTGCAGCTCTTTTCCAAACCGCACCCGGCCCGCAGTGCCCTGGGGAAGCATCCGGTGGGCAGAGACGGCCTCCACTTCTCTGTCCCTGCCGGCCTGTTGCCTCCGTCCCTCAGCAGCCTCCATAACTTGAAGTTCTCGTCAGTTCCTGTCCGAGGTAGGCACGGTCTGGCTGCTTGAGTGCAAGGAGAGCCCCAGATGATCGGCCCTCTGGAGCCCGCTCTGGACTTTGCTGTGCCACTGCCTGCTAGGCTCAGGTAGAGATGTGAAGGCCCGGGAAAAAAAACGGAAAAATTCAGGGAAAAAACGTTTTTTTCCCGTTTTTTTCCTGAAGCCTTTTTGTTTTTTTCCGAAAAATTGGAAAAATTGAAAAAAGAAAAGAAAAGAACAAAAATTGATTATGGAAAGTATTATTTTAACATGATGAATAAAATATTTTAAGACAAGGTGTTCAAATATTTTCCAAATCATTTCTAAAATATATACGTATGGTATCAGAGTGATCTAATTTCTGTGCACTGAGGACAAGCAAGTCCTAGGTTACCAACTGAACTCTCCAATGCAAGAACAAGATGCATTTCTTCCTTTAGGAGGTGCTACTGTCAGAAGAAAATAAAAAAGTTTCAGTTTTGTTTTTGCATGTGGGTGGATATTCTGTTTGTAATAATTGTTCGGATACACTATATTTTTAATATGCTAGTTGTGATAATTTCATGTCAAGTAAAAATGTCCATAGTCATATTTTATGTTCCTAAAGTAACAGAATGACTTTCAATCTAGAAAAGACAAAAGAAATGCTAATGTAGCATTTTTTTCATTTTTTCTGAAAATTTCCGTTTTCTCTTGGGAAAAAATAGAAGAAACCTGGTTTTTTTCCCGAGCTTCAAAATTTCCAGAAATTTTACATCTCTAGGCTCAGGGCTCCCCCGGGGGAAGGAGTCGCGAGAAGTGCTGGAGGGGGGCCCTGGCTGGCAGTAGTGGCCCTCCTGGCCAGTCTTGGCCGCCCCTTGACCCAAGGCAGGAGTGCTCGGAGGACCTGGCTTCAGACATTCCCGAGGCTCAGCCAAAGATTTCCTGGTAGCTCAGTTTGTCCCTTTGCAAAGGACGAGTCAAAAAAGCCAGAGAAGGGGTCGCAGTGTGCAGATACCTGCCAACAGACCAAAAACCACTGCGGTAAAATTAACAATGACACATTTAATAATTCTATAAGCATCAATTTGTGAAGCTATTAAACTTACAATATGGGGGGGGAAATTCAGGCACAGGCAAAGCAAAGTCCAACGTAATCATATCCTGTCCTCCAAGCACACCGGTTTTTACACTCATTTCACCAATCTTCCTTGGCAAAGAACAGCTGTCAAGGCCTTGCAAAAGCAAAAAGAGATAAGAGTCATCTTCCTTTTTCCTCCGCAGACACACCTCCGGGACCTGTGGGTCAAATCGTGTGCACTGACAAGGGGGTTTTGGCTGTGGAGAAGAACAAAATGTTGCTCCCTCCACTGTGGAACAAAGTGTTTTGTTGGGGGTTTGATGACTTCACCTGCTGTCTGGCAGGCTATGGATCAGACAAGGTAATTGCAGAGATTTCTGATGCAGTCAGGGACTTCCTAAATCACTCTCTTGGACTACTTGAGTGATTGGAGGAAGGAATCAGGGGGGAAATGTGGCCTGAACCATCTGACAGGCTGTGTTTTGAAGTCTGGGGTTGGTCCCTTGGGTACAAAAAGTTAATTTATGATACAGAGTCTCCAGGGTCTCAGGCAGAGGTCTTTCACATCACCTACTGCCTGGTCCTTTTGACTGGAGACGCTGGGGATTGGACATGGGACCCTCTACGTGCCAGGCAGGTATTCTACCACTGAGCCACGGCCCCACCAACCCTAAGCAGCAGGGTTTGTTTCGTAGAAAAAGAGCTAGGGGAACTCATTAGCATAATTCATTAGCATATGCCACACCCCCTGACATCATAAGGCCCGGCGGTGGACCTGCAAGGCCGGCGGGAGTGCGAGGAAGCCCCACCAAGGCCCTCCCTGGCCCCAGGCAGGCAGGGGTGGGGAGAGGCAGGGAGGAAGCAACTTACCCTCCCTCTTCTCCTGCCTCCTCCTGGTTGATTGAGGGCCGGAGGCGGGGCGGCCGGAAGCAGGGGGCGGGGCTTCGTCATGTGCCCCACCCCCCCACACCTCACCTGGGGGAACTGCGATCCCCTGTGATCCCCCCCGAATCGACCTCTGCTAAGCAGAAGGGATGTCACAGTTTGCAGTTGGGAAGACATCTGTGTCCTGCACACACGGCTGTGAGAATGGGATTCACTTTCCAATCTGGTCTCAGCTCACTCTGGAGAATCCTGAGCGTAAGGAAGATAAACCTCCCTTCGCTCCCGGGCTAAAGAGCTTCTAGTTCAGGCTTTACACTCAACTTGGGGGAATGACTCTCACCAACAGTAACCAAGGGATTGCTTGGCTACAGGACGAGGCTCTTAAGTGCATTTGGAAGAAGCACCGAGACCCGCATTACAGTGAAATCCAAAGGAGTTCTATTGAGGGGAAGGATTCATATGCTCAGAGAGTCACAGCAACATCAGGCCTAGAAGAGCAGTCACAAGCAGTGTTCCCTCTAAGCTGAGTGAGTGTGAGCTAGCTCACAGGTTTTTAGCCTCCAGCTCACATATTTTTGTCTTAGCTCAGGAAGGGAGGGCTCCAGAGCAAACTGATTTATGCAGCAGCCTGCATATTTTAAGGCTGGAGAAGGTGCAAAAAAGGAACAGATCAAGGGGTTTCTTACGGTGAAGAGGACTTCGAGTTTAGTGAAAAGGCAGCTAAGTGGAGATATGTTAAAGATACCTAAAATAATGAGAAGCATAGAAAAAACTAAAACGTGGGGTCTTTTGATTAAACTGATTGGCAATAGTTTTGAGAATGACAATAGATGGTTTCTCTTCCCTCTTCCTGTATGAAAATAATTATCTCAAGAGGAATTGATGACTTCTAGCTTAATTAGTTTATTAAAAAGGGTTAAATAAATTAATGGATATATCTGTAAATAGGTCATTAGCCGTGAGAGCTAAATGCAGTCCCGTGTTTGGAGCCTTTACCTCTGAAGAACATATGCTGAGGGGAAGCAAGTGGGGGTAGGGGAGTTGCCTCCATCTTGCTTTGCTTGTGACTGTGGACTGACAGTCCGATCCAGCATAGGCAGTTCTCGTGCTCTTCGATGTCTTTGCCTTCACATTTCATTTCTTATGACTAGCTAGGCCCAGGCCTTAGTGCTTGTGCACACGTTATATCCGTAGCAGAGATGATTATCTTAAGAGATACTGCCTCTGTGTACATGATCGAGTTCATTATTCAAACACCTTTCAGTCCTGGTGAGCTGGTTATATTTTTATTCCACCTTTGGGTTTGTTTGAAACCTCCAAGTTGAAACCTCCAACTATCAAATAATATGCCACCATGCATCAAATACTGACATAATCTGAAATAACAATAACAATACAACCTGCAGAAATGTGAGTAGAGAAGACATCAAGTCCAGACTGCAAATGGAAAACAGGAATATCTTAACTGGTTCTGAGCCTGTTCAGTTGTTATGTGTAGAAAAGTTGTTGGGTGCCTTTTTGATATGCACTGGCCTAAACTGAACCTAATGTATGAGCAAGCTTTTGGTATTTTGTGCTACTGTTGATAGCCGGTTGTGTACTCCACAGATGCCTAAGTGCTGGAATAAATAATGCCTTTGAGATGCTACTGCGAACAGCCTTACTTTGGGTTGGACTAAATGGGCATGTAAAAGCTTTTTGCCTTTTCCTGATGCAGAGCCATACGGACGCAATAACTCCAGGAGGACTTCATACAAACCAAGCACTGCAAAGCATTTAAAAGCATTACAGCTAATAATGGCAATTGGGAAGCTTTCTTGCCCAGGACAAGCCTTTTCTGTCTGTGCTTCTTAAATTCATTCTCTGTTGGAGGGGAGGCACTCTTTTCTATAGGCATCAAGTATGCACTAGTTGGAGCTGCAGTGGCTCAAGTGGTTAAGACGCTGAACTGCAGGCTGTGGAAGGTCAGTAGTTCAGCAGTTTGAGACCCGAGTGCGCCGCATGACGGAGTGAGCTCCCATCTCTAGTTCCAGCTCCTGCCAACCTAGCAGTTCGAAAGCAAGAAATTGCAAGTAGATAAATAGGTACCACTTTGGTGGGAAGGGAACAGCGTTCCGTGCGCCTCGGTGTTTAGTCACGCCGGCCACATGACCACGGAAACGTCCTCGGACAGCGCTGGCTCTTTGGCTTTGAAACGGAGATGAGCACCGCAACCCTAGAGTCGGACTCGACTGGCTTCCGAGCAAGGGAACCTTGACCTTCACCTTGAATGTTTTAATCATTAACTAGTTTGGGAAGGAGCTTCAAGGCCGGGGGGTTTCAATAGATGCAGAAAGGTAGGAAGGATGATTGAAGTTGTTCCTGGTAAGGCCAGACGTGTTCCTGGGTGCCCTTTGAAACTTTCCCCGTGACACTGGATCACATCACCTCAAATGCTCTTGGAAACCAAACCCCAGGTCTCCTCTCCCCGCTCTTTTCTTTCTGCTGCCATGGGGGAAATGACCTCACAATGTGTGTGTGCGGGGGGGACAGCGGACAGGAGTCAAATGTTCTTCTCCTGACCGTTTCCGAGGTCCAAACTCGACATGAATCTAGGTTGTGCCAAGCTTTTTCCTCAGGGAAGTTTTTTAGGAAGCGTAGCAAGTGAGATGGGAATCTGAAGTGAGCGTCCTAAGACTTCCTGTGCTTTTGCATTGGGAATGGTGTATCCCCCCCCTCCCCAGCTGCCTCCCCCATGAGGTGCAGGAAAAAAGCCGCAATAGTCTCTTCAGCAGAAGAATTGCCGGAGGGAAGCGGCGGCCTCCCTTTTCATTGATGTTCCTTATCTGCTTCGTTTATACCTCGTCTTTTCCCCCAATGGGGAATCTGTCTTACCTCGGCCGTCTTTCCTCCATTTTCTCCTCACAACCACCCTGTGAAGTGGGTAGGCCGAGCGGGTGATGGGCCTGGGGCCACCCAGCGGGCTTCCATGGCCAAGTGGGGATCCAGACCTGGGCCTCCTGGATCCTAGCCTGGCATTCTGACCTAGGGGTCCCCAACACGGCACTGGTGGGTGGTGCCCGCCGAGGGGTTTCAGAACATGGAAGGGGCTAGGTAAGCATTTGCCCAGCAGGGGGTCTGACTCAAAAAGGTTGAGGACCCCACTCCTGATTCTTTGCTCTCTCCCTGCTTGTGGAACTGGCGGCTTGCCTTTGTGAGGGGGGCGGCCATCTTGTGGCTTCCTGGTCAATGAGCGTTTTCTCCCTGGGCCGCGGCCTTGGCGTCCTCTCTGTTTCCCCCCCCCTCCCCAGGCTTTGTACGGACACCGTGGGGCTGTGACCTGCCTGGCCGCCTCCGCCTCCTACGGCGTCGTGGTGAGCGGCTCTGCCGACAGATCCGGCATCATCTGGGACTTGCACCGGCTGACACGCCTCGCCCGGCTTCCTGCCCACCCGGCCTGCCTCTCGGCTGTTGCTGTCAGTGATTCCACGGTAAGCTATTCATTTATCATCTTTTCTCCTGACACATCAGCGGGCGTTCCGTGATGACTTAATGGGGGCCCTTTCCTGCGAGAAACCGTCCTGAGACGCGACAGATTGATTTTTGCTTTTTACAGAGGCTTCTAATCGTCTCCGTAATGCTCAGAGGGGGCACTAAAAGCATCCTCCGAGGCAGAGAGGCGGAGGAGGAGGAGGAGGAGGAAGGCTGCTGGGGGCTCTTCTCTGCTCTTCCGCTTTTGGAGACTTCTGCCTTTGGGTCCAGTGTTCCCTCTAAGCTGAGTGAGTGTGAGCTAGCGCACAGTTTTTTAGCCTCTAGCTCACACATTTTCATGCTCGCTCAGGAAAGGACGGCTCCAGAGCAAACTAATTTATGCAGTAGCCAAATCGCTTGCTCTCAACTTGAATGCTAGTAGCTCACAAACTATAATTTTCGCTCACAAGACTCCACAGCTTAGAGGGAACATTGTTTGGGTTCCGCCAATGCTCCCTCTAAGCTGTGGAGTCTTGTGAGCAAAACTTCTGCTTTGTGAGCTACCGGCATTAAAGTTGTGAGCCAGCGATTTGGCGGCGGCATAAATCAGTTTGCTCCGGAGCCCCATCCTTCCTGAGCTAAGACCAAAATCTGTGAGCCGGAGGCTAAAAAACTGTGAGCTAGCTAAGCTCACACTAACTCAGCTTAGAGGGAACATTGGACTTCCAACAGCTCTCTTTCGTGGGTCTGGCATCTGTGGGGGTTCTCAGGCAAAACTCTTGCTGCAGGAGCACCCTGGAATGTCCTTCCCCCACGGTTGTCTTCTGACCCGGAGAGGGACAGCCCAGCTTCCCGGACGGTGCCCCTGCCTTCCCTCAGGCCTCTGCTCTCTGTGAGGGAACTGCTGCCCCTGCACAGCCACCCTCAGGACCAAAGATGACGTCACCCCAGTTAAATTTCTTTAAAACAGAACCACCTCCTGTTGAAACTGGAAAACCGCATTCAGACAGATGTTTGTGATCAAAGGAGCAGTGTGTGTGTGTGTGTGTTATCTTCCCCCCTCCCCTCCCCGTCCACCTTCCCAAACCAGCCCACCAAGGGGCTGTCCTTAACTGCAGGGCGATGGGCATTTTAGTGTTGGTGAAGGCGTGGTGCCCTTCAAAGCGGCCCTTTCCTCCAGAGGGGCTGATCTCTCCCGCCTGGAGATCCACTGTAATTCTAGGAGAGCTCCAGGTCCCACCGGAGGCTGGCAAACCAGGTGTGTCGCATGCGTCCTGGGGCATGAGAGGCACCTAGTTGGGTCCAAGGCTCCCTCTAAGCTGTGGAGTCCTGTGAGCAAAAAATTCTACTTTGTGAGCTGCCGGCATTAAAGTTATGAGCAAGTGATTTGGCTACTGCATAAATCAGTTTGCTCTGGAGCCATCCTTCCTGAGCTAAGCCAAAAATTGTGTGAGCTGGAGGCTAAAAAACTGTGAGCTTGCTCACACTAACTCAGCTTAGAGGGAACACTGGTTGGGCCGTGTCTTCACTACCCAAACCGAACCGAACCTCTCCGCCCCCAAGCTCTTTCCCACCTTCCACGGCACACCAGGTTTCGGTCTCTTTGCTCACCTTTTCTCCCAGTCTCCTCCGTCAGTTGCTTCGTGACTGTCTCGGTTCCACGGTTTTTCTTTCTCCGCTGTGAATGTTTGGACTCTCCTCCTCCCTTTTTCATCATCTCCTCCCAAGTCTGGCCTTGGCTTGGCATGGCCCTCTCCTGCTGTTGCCAGCCTCCCAGTGGCAGCTGAAGACACACACACACACACACACCAGGATTTCAGCTGATCTCCAGACATGGCAGTTCAGTTCCCCTGGAGAAAACAGCCGCTTTGGAGGATGGAGTCTGTGGCATCAGGGTCCATTGAAGTCCCTCCCCCCCCCAAATCCTACCCTTCCCAGGCTGGGCTCTGTAGGCCCGTGGCTACAGTGGGGCATGTTGGGGGCCCGCCCCCTTAATTAAAAGCCCTGCCCCACACATAGCAACGGCAGGAGCCTTACGGGGGGTATTTTTTAAGTGTGTGTGCGCGTGTAGGAACCTTACTTTTGAGCTGAAACCCCCCCCACACACACACACACAGGTGGGCAGAATGGAGCGGGTGCAGAGGACGGCGACGAGGATGCTCAGGGGCCTGGAGACCAAGAAGCCCCCTGAGGAAAGGCTGAGGAGCATGACTGAGGAGGGACAGGATGGCTCTCTTGAAGTATCTGAAGGGCTGTCACTTGGAGGAGGGCAGGGAGCTGTTCCTTTTGCCAGAAGGCAGAGGTCATTTCGGGGGGGATCACGGGGGATCGCAGTTCCCCCGGGTGAGGTACATGGGGGCGGGGCACATGACGAAGCCCCGCCCCCTGCTTCCGGCCGCCCCGCTTCCAGCCCTCATTCAGCCAGGAGGAGGCAGGAGAAGAGGGAAGGTAAGTTGCTTCCTCCCTGCCTCTCCCCACCCCTGCCTGCCTGGGGCCAGGGAGGGCCTTGGCGGGGCTTCCTCGCACTCCCGCCGGCCTTGCAGGTCCACCGCCGGACCTTATGATGTCAGGGGGTGTGGCATATGCTAATGAGTTATGCTAATGAGTTCCCCTAGCTCTTTTTCTAGGAAATGATCCCTGCCAGAAGAGGATGGGACTCGCAAGAATGGGTTTAAGTTAAGGGTGGGAAGGTACTGGCTGGATCTTAGGAAAAACTTTTTTTTACAGTAAGAGTAGTTCAGCAGTGGAATCGGCTGCCTGGGGAGGTGGTGAAACCCCCCCCCCCCGGGCCGTTTTCCACAGGGGGGGGGGAAACACCCCC